GAAACCAAATTTTTGTGTCAGCAATAATGTGCAAACATTTCGTGTAATTAAGCGTTACAAATCTACCCAAGTGGAAGCATCCATCTTGTTATTGGCCTGCATGACCGCTCAACGCACTTAAGTTCTCAACGAAACTCCTTCATCTCGCCGTCGCCAATTAGGCCTCGGGTATGACATTTGAAACTTCCTAAGCAGCCGCGCACGAGCGTTCTGCAGGGCCAATACTTCAAAAGGCTGTTTCTGGCGTGATCGTAGGAGGACGAGCCCCGCGCGACTCGCCGTCAAAGCTCGCCGAGGCGCCTCACCATGGGTGGTTAGTGACCGCCCCTCGCCGGCGCCGGCTGCGCCCGTGTGATGGGTGGTCTCTTGAATGCGGCACATTTCCGCTACGGTCCGCAACGGTGTGGCAACAATATCGCTCCGGAAGTGCTTAGCTTCCTGTCGAAAGCACAAGCGCCCGACAAAGCAACGGCGTTTGTGCCAAAAGGACGGGGTGGGAATTGTTTCAGAATACAAGCGTGTCTGGGTATCCCAGGAAGCTTTGATGTCTGTAACTGTACACCATACTGAACTGCCCTGTTCACCTGCAGCCCTACGTAGCATATACTGGGGTATGCTTGCGATGAACAGTTAGGTTCAAAGCGCTATAATAGCATATGAAGCGCCAGGGATTACACGTAAACATAACAGATCCCAAATTGGTACCCTGGATAGCGATCAATATGTTTAGTTTGTGGGCGGTCTCTGGTGTGTTTGAAGACACGGTAAGAACACGTCTGACCAACTGTATGCTAATAATTATGCTTCAAACATGAAAAGCCGAAACGTACGATGGGCTTCTATCAAGTCATTTACCTTACTGCGATGCTTGTAATAATAATGCACTCTTGGGAGTGCTACACCAGTACCCAGTGGCCAGGGGTGCCAAATGAGTTGGGGCCCCCAATTCATACTCAACTCAACCCACTCAACTCAGTCCTTGGGTGGGTGGGAGTGGGGGGACTGAGCAGTGTAAAATGATGCAACCCACCCCCCAAAAGGCACCAGCAAACAGGTGTCTTCTCAGATTTGGCTCACTGCTTTCTCAAATTCGAGGGCTGGAGCCCAAGTTTTGTTCTTCTTTTTATTGGGGGGGGGGGGGAGGGGGACTGTAGTTTCTATCAAACTGAATAGGAAACTACACCCTGCCAGCCTATAATAGCTATGTCTTCTCGAGTCCCAGTGTCAAGTGCCATCTCCCACACACACGAAGGTACTTTTATTTATGTTTCTAATACTGGCGCACTTACAGAGAAAATGTCATATTTAGAGCACGCCGTTTGAGCCATACCATTGATGCAACTTAGCATTTGATCATTACCAGTGGCAAAGACAATATTTTCCACAGAAGGAGGGGGGGGGGGGGGGGGGTGATCAGTATGTTACTCTTCCAAGGTCTCCTTTGGCGGCTTCATTGTCGCACTTGCCCATATTCGTTTGCTTTAAATATTGTGCGTCAAACAGCGTGGCATTCAGGCTCAGTGCTTTGGTGATGGGCTGGCCATGCTTGGTCCCAGGTGGATTTGGTCTCTGGGGGTCTCAATTGCCCCGGGAAAAGCGACATGTACCCTGCAGTCCTCCAATGCCTTTTCCAATTATTATCATATCATTTATTTGCATTCGGTCGACGTCCAATCAATATTTCTAGAACACTCATAACATAGCAGTATGTCATGGCACAGGAACTGCTTGTAACTTGAAAATGTTACCAAATGATACCTGGTACCTATGTTGCTGGTACCTGATATACCACGGCTGTTATGTTGCTGATACCTGGCCAGCCTCCCGGTACCCTGTTAAGCCACGCCCGCCAGCCTCTTATACTGTTGGAAAATGGCTAGGTGCAGCTATTAGCACTGCATGATGGACCAATCAGTTACCGTCCCCTGAATCCTGTAAGCATTTACAGGATCAATTATCGGCCCCTAAATCCTGTTGGGGTCCTGTGGCGTCAGTTAAGTCCTGTGGAACAAGTCCGAAACGGTCTATGACAGGGTGCTGAACTTGCACCAATCGTAAAATCGCCCCTATTTGAGGCAAAGTGTGCTGCAGTGATACAGAGCGGGTATTGGAATTTGTGTCCAGCCTCAGCTGTTTTAATGCCGAGTATGGCCAGGAGACGTACTAACAAACGTCTTGAGACTCACGTTATTGAAGGGAACGGCTTCAAGAAGTACTCATAAAAGATTATTGAAAACCGTATTGTGATGCCTTTCAACACGTGAATGCCCTAGGGCATGCCTATGGTGACGTCACCATGGAACCGCCAGACCTAGTCCCGACTAGGTCACCCTCCCCTGTCCTCGGCTAGGTGGAAGCGAACAGCCTGAGTAGGATAGATCCTTGCCAACCGCGTTCATGAAAACTGCATGATTTAGTTTGGCGATGCCGTTTGCTTGCAGCGCCCAAAATGTTTGCACCCACTTTCCATCGCAGAGCTTTCAGATTCTTAGTGGACGGA